TACTACCCCACTACGGATAGTATTTAATTGCAGCGCTAAGACAAGGCAGAGTAGTGTTTCATTAAATGACTGCCTTCAAACTGGCCCTAGCCTGATACAAAGGCTATACAACGTGCTGTTAAAGTTCCGTATTGGGACTTACGCATATACGGCCGACATCAGCAAGGCTTTCCTTAGGGTAGGTCTCCAAGAAGAAGACCGGAACTACACAAAGTTCCTATGGATCAAGGATCCTAACGATCCAAACAGTGAATTAATCACTTACAGGTTTGCGTCTGTTTTGTTTGGGGCCACTTCTTCACCATTTCTGCTTCAAGCTACCTTAGATATGCACTTGAAGAAGTCCAATAGCCCAAACAAAACAGAAATTAGCAATAACTTGTATGTGGATAATTTTCAAGGAACAACCAGCAGTGAGAGTAAACTGTTGAACATATACCATGAGGCCAATCAAGAATTAATAGGAGCAAATATGCCTCTCCAGTCGTGGGTCTCCAACAATGCCAAATTAAATCAACTGATCGCAACTGAATTTCCCGACTACCAGGTACCCGAGAGGACAAAAGTACTAGGCGTCGAATGGAATACGACAACGGATCAGTTGACAATCAAGTCGGTGGAGCCAGATACCACTAACTTAACAATGAGAAAATTACTCTCACAAGTCAGCAAACCCTTCAACCCATTAGGACTATTAAGTCCAATCTTAATTAATGGAAAGTTGATAATGCAGGAATGTTGGCAACAAAAGATAGGCTGGGATGATCTTCTAACACCTACCTTACAAGAAAAATGGCAAGGGCTAGTGAAAGATTTAAGTATCCTAGAGTCTGTCAAGTTCCCTCGGAACACAGTAGTAAATGAAAAAGAACCAATTAAGCTACATGTATTTTGTGATGCCTCAGGAAAGGCTTATGGCACAGTAGCTTACCTGGTCTCAAATGGGCAAGCCAATTTGCTCACATCAAAGGCCAGAGTGGCACCTTTAAAGAAAAGATCATTGCCACAACTGGAATTAACAGCCTTACTGCTAGGTGTAAGATTGGCTCATTATCTGATCAAGGCCTTAAGCAACATCCACTTTGAAGAAACAGTGGTATGGTCAGATAATGAGGCAGTGCTACAGTGGGTTAAAAACAATAATAGTAAGAATCCTTACGTGAGTAACCGCGTTAAGGAAATACGAGAGTTGTCAGCAGGGTATAAACTGAGATATGTACCCACCAAAGAGAATCCAGCTGACTATCTCTCCCGAGGCCTGACTTTACGGCAATTAACAAAGGCAGAGATGTGGTTCAATGGACCTCAGTGGCTAATCAGCGACCAGTGGCCTAAACAAAAGCCACAAGTCATTGTGACCAATGTCACTGTTCCCACTGAGAACCCAGAACTACCTCGGACTTTGGTAATTGATCCTACTTGGTACTCTGAACTGAACAAACTAATAGGTGTCACCCAAGTAGTGTTTGATTTTCTAAAGAAAATAGGAATCAAGCATAAATTCCCTAGTGCCCTAAGGTACTGGGTCAAAAGAGCTCAGACAGACACATTCGGGACAGAATTTGACAATGTTCCTAAGAAGCTACAAAATGATCTGGGTCTCTGGTTAGACACCGACAATTATAACATAATCAGATGCGGAGGCCGCTTACAGCATGCTGACATAGATCTGGAAGCAAAAAATCCAATATTGCTTCCTCGTCACCACATAGTAAGCAAACTAATTGTGTTACACATACACAAATACAGCACTCTGCATGGTGGGGTATTAGATACTCTCACAGACTTAAGACAACAGTACTGGCTACCCCAAGGTAGGCAGACAGTAAAATCAATAATTAAATCCTGTGTTATTTGCCGGAGATACGATGCCAGAGTGTGTCCATATCCAGGCCCTCCTCCACTTCCGAAGGAACGAGTTGTACATATTCGTCCCTTTGAGACTACAGGAGTAGATTTCACAGGAGCACTAACACTAACAGGCACCAAGGACAAAAAACCAGTAAAGGCCTATATCTGTCTTTTTACTTGTGCCACAACAAGGGCAGTCCATCTAGAAGTGACTCCCGATATGAGTGCCGAGGCATTCTTACAGGCTTTCCGCAGGTTTGCTTCACGTAGATCCTGTCCTAAGTTAATGATCTCAGACAATGGGTCCAACTTAGTGGCAGGAGAAGCATGTCTGAGGAAAATCTGGACACACCCAAAGGTACGCACGGCCCTAAATCAACGGCAGTGCCACTGGAAATTCATACCTCCCAGAGCACCATGGCATGGAGGCTTCTATGAACGCATGATTGGTACGGTGAAACGTTCTCTACGGAAAACCCTACACCACCAAAAGATTGACCTACAGGAGCTCCAAACCGTAGCCATAGAGATAGAAGCACGAGTTAATAACCGACCACTTACCTACCTCTCTGATGATGTTTTGCAGCGTGAACCATTAAGTCCAGCTCATCTGATGTATGGGAGACCTCTCAGCACCCTTGTGTCCCTTACGGACGAGGAACCAGAGGATCCTTCATATGTCCGAGAGAGTGATTTGGTTCAACGTTTCAAACATCTATCAGGGGTGATAAGTTGGTGGAATGACGTATGGACTCGAGAATACCTTACTGCTCTGAGGGAGTATCATTACGGGGCAAACAACCCCTACAACAGAATTAACTTGAACCCTGGTGACATAGTTCTGGTGGACAGCGATGGGCCACGCTCAGAGTGGCCTATAGGCCAAATAGTCTCTGTTCATCCAGACAGCCAGGGCATCTTGAGAATAGTGAAAGTAAAATGCCGAGGCAACACTACTCTCAAAACATTAGAGAAATTAGTTCCTTTAGAACTGGCAGGAAAAGAAGACGTTCAACGACTTCCAGCACCCGAAACGCCAGTACGGGACATACGTCCCCAAAGGACTGCAGCACAACAATGTAAACTCAAATTAAAGCAGCACTATAATTCTGAAGGAGAAGAATAAAGTGATCACAGTCCTTACCAGGACTTCGACCCGTGTTCTTCCCCCCCCTCAAGGAATTATGTCGGAAATCCGACACACATAATAACATGAGTATCCCCTTAAAGAAAAGAGAATGGGTGATTCCGTGACGTCATCGACGTCACATATTTACATTACTCATAATCTTTTTATACAACAGTCTAGTGTTTAAATTTAATAAAAAAGTGTTCACTAAGACTGAATATAATTTTCAACACTAGGAATATAGCTTAATACTCTATTCCTTAAACATAAATAGAACCATCAAACATTTGAGTTCGTCTCCCCCCGGGAGCGTCGTCACCTACAGACCGAGACAATAACATCTAGACACACTGTAGAGTGGCTCTCCATATGAGCTGATTTAACTCGTTAGACACCCAGACTACGTGTCAACAAGCGAGCAACCAGCAAAACAGCCTCTCAACAACCACAGCAACACCAGTATCCGTCTTACCAAGTATTTGTGTTTAATCTTGGCCATAGTTATTCATAAATAGGTAGGCGGTGATAATGCATGAAAACCCCTCATAACCAAGTACGGTTACTCAGCTCAACACACTCATATTCCATGTCATACCTGGACTTATGTGTTTAGGGTAACATTATTAATTTTTTAATCTCAACAGGTAATTGTGATTTGAGTTACAAGAAGCAGAGCAGACAGTTGGCCTTCAATATAAGATTATTACCTAGCTGTACACTAAGCTTTGTAGGCCTCCAGACAGCCGCCATTACGTGGCACTCAGAGGCACAGGGCCACACCCAATTTTGATGCTACAATTACACAGCCTTAGCAGGCCCCATCAACAGGAACAGCTAAGCCCCTTTTTGTACAATACTGTAGATATAGTATTAGAAATTATAATTAATTATTGCTATAATAATAGTAGATTAGACCACCATATGTGGTATGATTTATAATTTATATTTATTAGGTAAACAATTTGTGGTTTATGAAGGAGCCATCTCAAAGTGGTTTAAGCTGCAAATTGTCCCCCCAATTATGTGAGATAAATTCAGGCAGCTGAATCAGTACATACAGTCCACTCACTTACTTACTTGCTTAATTAACTTACTTGCTTTAATTAACTAATTTTTCTTATTACTAAGAACTAACTAAGAAAATTAATCAAATAAAATTATCATATTAAAGTCAATTGTAAAATGTTGCCCAGTTCTGGTGTGCCCTGTGAATATAAGAACAGCCTCCGAAGTCTTGTACGGGGATTAACAATGAGTCCACATTGATGCTGCTGTGGATTTTTCCACACTTCTTCCAACCAACGAGCTAATTGATCTTGGGGATTCTTGAACTTAGTCAACCATACCAAACTGCCATGATCCGTTCGAATAATAAAAGGCCGGCCCAATAGAGAGTGCCGAAAAAGCCTGGTAAACCTCACGACTGCTAACAATTCCTTCCTGGTAATGCAATACCTTCTTTGCTCTGGGGTTAATGCAAAGCTGGCATAAGCAATTACTACTTCCTGTTCCTCCTGAACCGGTAGCAACTCAGCACCTATTGCCCAATCAGAGGCGTCGGTATCCAGGATAAATAGATCCTGTCCATTGGGTAGCCCTAAAACAAGGGTCGTAGTCAAAGCCGTCTTGATAGCCACGAAGGCCTCTTGGTGTTTACTTTCCCAATTAAATTTGTTTGCCCCGGTTAATGCATATAGAGGAGCCGCTAGCTCTGCAAATTCTTTTATAAAGGCCCTATGGTAGCTGGCTAATCCTAAGAATCGTTCCACATCCGTGGACGACCTAGGGGTTTGCTACCTCACCACTGCCTCTATTGCCTCCGGTTCCAATTCTAGCCCTATCCTGCCCAAGAATTCGACACGCTTTTTTTAAACAAGGCTCATTTTTGTTGCTTAAGGCGCAGGTCATATCTCCTGAATCTTTTAAAGACTTGTTCCAGGTTGGAGAGATGGCTCTGAAAGGACTCGCCCAGCACTAAGATGTCGTCCAAAAAAGCTAGCACGGTTTCCCAATTTAGTTCTCAGAGCACTAGATTCATGACTCTTGCATAGGTAGCTGGAGCATTACAAAGGCCAAAAGCCATTTTCTTAAACTCAAACAGACCATACTTGGTGATAAATGCCGTCTTTTTCCGATCTTCCTCGGCTACATTGATCTGGTAGTATGCTGAATTGGCGTCAAATTTACTGAAACATTCGATCCCTGCTAATGTGTCCAGCAATTCATCGACTAGCGGAAGCGGGTACACATCGTTTATGGTACGGGAATTCAGTTCTCGGTAGTCCACACACCATCGAACCGAGGTATCCCTTTTCCTCACTAACACTGGTGCCGATGCCCACTCAGACATCGACGGTGTGACAATACCTGCATCAAGCATGTGTTGAAGGTGTCCTTTTTCCTCCTGTGCAAAACATGCAGGTGTTCGTCGTATTTTCTGTTTCACAGGTCTGGCATTGCCTGTGTTGATGTGGTGTGATACTTCATTAAAAGATTCCAAATCAAATTCGCTTGCCGCAAAGACATCCTTATTTGTCAGTAACAAATGGGTCAGTTGGCTCACCTGTTCTGCTGTCAGAGTTTCTTCTATGTCCCATAATATGCTTACCATATAGGTGGGTAGGTTGCCGTGGGTTTCCTGTGGTGCCTCCCCTACTAACCTTACAGACACTGCTGAACTGGGTAAAACCTCCCATGCTGCTTCTGCATTGGCCACATGCGTCTGTCTCTTCAATGTGATGTTCCGGTCTATTACATTAAGTACAAATATTTGTAAGGTTTTTCTTTTCTGGTGCAATATACGAATTATTGGCACCCTCCCGTCGTCCAAGGGTTCCACTAGGTATTGGGGCATGTTATTGTCCAGTTCACATGTGACGTTTGCAACCGACCGTGGTGGAATGACCGTGTGTTGAGACACTGCCACTTTAGCTGTGCAAGGGTTGGAGTTGGGGTCTGGTGTATTCTCCCTTCCCAACTGCATAGGAATAATTTGCCCCTGTAATATCATTTGAGATTGGGCCAAGGCCAGGCTGATGCCCTGACGTTTCATAAAATCAAGCCCCAGTAGCATGTTATCTTCAATTGGTGCTACATATACGTTTACTTTAAATTTCCTTCCTGGAATTAGTAATGTAACCGGCCCTACAAGTGTCCCGGGAATGCATATACATTTCCCCGCTGTATTGAGAGTGATCCGCCTTATTACCAGTAATAGGGGTATCAACTTTTGATGAACCTCTTGAGAAATAATTGTGACTTCCGCCGCTGAATCAACTATTGCTCTCACCATTACGTTCTCTACTTGAATCGGGATCCAGAACATGGAACCCGACCGTAATTGCCTAATAGTTATTTGTTCTTGTTCCTCTTTTTCTTGCTTATCAATGTCCCCGGGTGTGCCGGGTGGGTCTACCTTGTCCTCCCTGGGGGAACAACTACTCTCTTCTTGAGGGAACTCTTCCTCATCACCTACTTGCTGGAAATTTAAACCTACCCCCTCATGTTGATAGAAGTCTTCCTCGTCTTGCGACACATTAATTTTACCTTCGCCTATGTTCCTTTCGTCTGCCAGTGCTACCATTTCAGGCGCACCTTCTGAAAATGTTTGATCGGACTGCCACTCTTCCTGATGGATATCCAGTGCTGGTATTTGGAGGGTATACATTTTGAACCCTCGAGAAGGACCTGGTGTCATTGAATGTGGTGTAACCACAATCTGCTGGCCTGGTAAGTCGTGGGTCGAATCTAGGCCTCTTGAACCGACCAGTCGTTGTTTAAAGACTGATCCTCTTCCAGAAATGAAACATGATACTTATCGTTGGAATGCTTTTCCTGTTTATGGCCTTCATTCCAGCCACTCTTAGACCTTTGGCAATCGTGAGCAAAATGACCCTCTTCCCCACATAGGTAACAATTATTACTCCTCCTAGGTGAAGGGGTTCGTTGACCACGAGGTGATATAATAGCGTTTGTGAGACGCCTCAAACCCTCACATACTTCGTTCAATTTGTCACGAACCCCTGAGATCCCCGAGACAACTTCGTCTAGTTTTGCGTTCATTCCTGTCAATTTATCTAGCTTTGTATCTATTCCCGCAAGAGAGGGAGAGCCTGATCCAGCATTTATTTCACGGAGACCCCCATTACCATCACCTGATAGGCTAGCAGCCGGTGACGAATTTGGGGATTTTGTAGGTGTCCGTGAACGGAGGCAGAAAGCCAAATAACTCCGGGCTGGCTGTTCGTATTGGGAAGGTCTACCCACAGCATTTATCTGCACTACTGGCCCTTGGGACGTCTGCTGCTGGGAACCATATGAGGATGAACCTGCTGACCCATGAATAGCAACAGAATTATGCTGAAATGTCTGAGCCCTATCAATGGATTTTTCCATGGAAGAAATATTAGCATTAGAAATATATTCTGCTAAACGCTTATCTAGCAAATCCTGACCAAATCGCATGATTGCCATCTGCTCTTCCTCTCCCATTTCCAGATGTTTGTAAGCTCGATGAGCCAAATGCTGGACTCTATCAGCCCATTCTTAGATTTCCTCACCATTCTCCTGGCGGGCCTGAGAAAATTTCATTATTGCTACGCCTAAAACCTCCCTATCTCCAAATTGCTTTACAAGCTTGTGCATCATGCGAGTGTAATCAATTGATGGTTCCCGGTCTAGTATCCGGTTGTAAAAATCACTAGCTTTGCCCTTAAGACACCAACCCTAGTTTGTTAGAGAAGTAGTGCCACGGCAATCTTTTTCTGCTGCCCCCTCCCCATCTGGCCCGTTGACGTCGTGAGGGGGCTTGGTGGACGGCTGCTGGAGTGTGATGCTCTGTGGGGCAGTCCTCTGTCCTTTTCTGGCCTTGCACTCCTGCTGCTGTCTTCTCTAATTGTGCCGGATCGCTTTTCCTTTTCCTTATGTTTCGTTTTTCTCCCCCCTCTTCTCCTATCTGCTTGTCGTTTCCTGCCGACCTTTTGCTTGTTTTGGATTATTTCTTTGGACTTCTTCTATTTTGACGCCCGGGTGCTTGAGGAGGCATACTCTTGCACCCGTAGAACTGTAGTACCCAACGTCTCAAGCGAGGGGAATCTTTTATTGTCAATCCCCCTTTCGTCGCTGAACCCGATCTCGCCGGACTGACGGTTCTTAAGGTGGCGTTTGTGGGGCGTATACTCACGATGCACCCCTAGGGGGCCCCAGCTTGATTGGCGATAGCTTCCTGTTGGGTGTCCTGCCTCTAATTGTGGCTCCATGGTGGGTATGGGGACACATTCGTAGATGAATTTTTCTCTTCGTTTCTATGTCGTTGAATGTTTCCGTTGTACCCTCTCAGGCTCGTGGGGTGGGCGACCAAGTCCCCGAGTCGGCCTGTATTGGAAGACCAGGCTCTGTAGCTCCCGCTGCGTTGGGCCCCGACCTTGCTCCTCCTTTGACCGTCCTGACTTCTTTCCCCAGCTCCCCTCCCTCCTCTGTGGTTGGGTCGAGCCTCCAGCCCCCGGTGGTGACCACTTCGTCCCCTGGTGCGACTAAGTCTCTCGTTGTGACTACTGCGACTTTGTAACAAGTGCTGGAGGTTTGGGCATGGTGCCTCCGCTGCTCTGGGACTGTCTCTCTCTGTCCTTTGTGTGGGGGTGAAGGTCACTCTAAGTCGGAGTGCACTTCTCCCCAAGCTCGCTGCCTCAACTGCGGTGAGGCCCATCCTACCTTCTCCCGTGCCTGTGTCCATTACAAGCTTGAGGCAGCCGTCCTCAACCTGAAGCACCGGGAGCGTTTATCTTTTCCTGAGGCGAGGCGCCAGGTTCGCCGGCTACCGCCTTATACTAACATCTCTTATGCTCGCGTGTTGCGCTCTTCCTCTCCTCGTCCTTCCCCCCTTCCTCAGACTCACAACCGTTTCCGGGCCTTGGACCCTGATACGCCCACTGCCCCCTCCTCTGTCCCTTTGTGTTCTGTCCTGAGGGGTCCCCCTCCTGGTCGTCTGTCTGGGGTTCCCCTTCTTTCTACCCGGTCTGTCATGTCTCCTGTGTCTTCTTCCTCGTCCCCCTCCGATCCTCCTTCCCATCCTCTTCCTCCATCTATCGGCTCTCCCCGCCGCCTGTCGGTGCAGGCGGATGTCCATCGCTCTCCTAACGGCCGTCTTGTGTGCTCTCGTTCAGCTTCTCCTGTTGAGACACTAGAATCCGTTGCCCGATACGTAGTTGCTGGGACACCAGTCTCTTTAAGTCAGAAGCGTAAGCCTGGCTCCTCTCCTTCCTCCTCCCAGGCGGGTAAGAAGGCTTCGCTTTCTTCCTCAGCTCCTACTTCTGGCTCTGTTGCTCCTTCCCCTCCCGTTTCAGTGATTGCACCCCCTGTTCCTGCTATGGAGGTTTCTTTGGCCCCTGCTTCCCTTTCGGTTGCTGCTCTTGCTGGGGTGCGCTCACCTCTTTCTACTCCCCCTCTTCCTGCTGCTGTCCTTGACTGCTCCTCTCCATTGTCTCCTCCTCTTCCGGACCCCGCCCGCCCACCTCTGATCTGTTCTCCCGTTTCCTTCCCTCCGTCTTTGCTCAGTTTACCCATGCCCCCTAACCCTGACTTTGCTGACCCTGATCCCGACCCTGATATTCTTTAACGTGCTCTGTTGCTCTTTCGCCTTTGTTTCTTCCTTGTTCTCTGTTTTTGTCCTTTCTCTTCTCGTCGTTGTCCATTCTTCAATGGAACGTTCGAGGTTATTACGCCAATTTCCTCGAACTCCAACTTCTGATTTCGCGGTTTTCGCCCCTTTGTGTCTGTCTCCAGGAGCCGATGCTTGGTGCTCGTCCTGGTCGTTTTCGTGGCTATTCCCTCCCCCCCCCAGCCGTTGCTGGGGCTTCTAATTCTTCTGCTCTCTTGATTCGTGCTGATGTTCCCTTTGTTCCTTTACTTTTTCCTTCGCCTCTCCATTGTTCTGCTGCTCGTATCTTTGTGGGGAAATGGTACACAGTTTGTTCCATTTATCTCCCCCCGAGTGTCCCGCTCTCTCTTTCTGATTTGAAACACCTCCTAGACTCCTTGCCGGAGCCTGTGCTCCTGCTGGGTGACTTCAATTGTCGTCATTCTCTTTTGGGTGACGTTCTGACGAATACCCGGGGTCGCCTCCTTGAGCCGTTTCTCCTCTCTTCTTCCCTGTCTCTTCTGAATTCTGGTGAGCCCACTCATTTGGACTCTCGGACTCGCACCCTTTCTTGTCTTGATCTTTCTCTCTTCTCTTCTTCTCTTTACTTAGATTTCACGTGGCAGGTTCTTGATGACCTCCATGGAAGTGATCATTTCCTTATCCTTGTATCCTTTTTCTCTTTTTGCCCTTCCCTCTCTTTCCCTAGGTGGCAGTTTGCTAAGGCGGACTGGACCCTATTTACCCTCAGTGCTGCTCTCTCTGACCTCTCCCTTCTGCCTCTCTCTCGCGCTCTCCTCCTTTTTCATGACATTGTCTTCAACGCTGCCCTCCGCTCTATTCCTCGCTCTTCCTCTCGGGGTCCACGGAAGTGCGTTCCCTGGTGGAATGCGGACTGTGCTCGGGCTGTCCGCTTTAAGCGTGCAGCCTGGAAGAGGCACCGCCGTAGGCAGACGACCGATTCTTTTCTTTTCTTTCGGAAAGCGAGTGCGGTGGCCCGTAGGGCCATCCGTACGGCTAAACATGAATGTTGGGCAACTTATGTCTCAACAATTACGTCCGAAACCCCTCTGGCCCAGATCTGGAAGCGTATCCACAAGATAGCGGGTAAGTTCGTTCCCGATGTTTCACCGGTCCTTCACCTCCATGATACTCTTGTGGTGGACCTGTTGCAGGTCGCTTCCGAACTGGGTTCCCACTTTTCTTCTGTTAGCTCTGGTCTTCATCTTCCCCAATCTTTCCTTCTTCATAAACCTGTCCTTGAGTCTCGTCCTTTAGATTTCTGCACTTATCTTCAGCTTCCCTATAATGATCCCTTCTCTCTCTCTGAACTTCGTTCTGCCCTGGCCCTCTGCGGGTCTACGGCGGCGGGCTCCGATGATATTTATTATGAGATGCTTCGCCATCTCCCTCCGTGCACGTCTCAGTATTTACTGAGTCTGTATAATCGGATCTGGGAGTCGTCGTCAGTCCCTGAGAACTGGCTCGATGCCGTTGTCCTACCTGTTCGCAAACCGGGGTCTCTGGGTACTTCCCCTAAGGACTTTCGCCCTATTGCTCTGACAACTTGTGTCTGCAAACTCTTTGAACGTATGGTTAACGTTCGTCTGATGTGGTTCCTGGAACACCATCACCTCCTCTCCCCTTCTCAATTTGGTTTCCGCAAGTGCCGCAGCACGACAGATGTCCTGGTGAACTTGGAGGTCTATATTCGTACTGCTTTTGCTGCGAGGACCTCGTTGTTGCCGTCCTTTTTGACCTGGAAAAGGCTTACAACACCACTTGGCGATATCATATTCTATCTCAACTTCATTCTTTTGGCCTACGTGGTCATCTCCCTCTCTTTCTCCGCAGCTTCCTCTCTCGTCGTTCCTTTCGGGTGCGCCTTGGTACCGCTCTCTCTACCTCTTTTCAGCAATACGAAGGTGTGCCCCAGGGTAGTGTTCTGAGCACTACTCTTTTTCTGGGTGCCCTCAATGGTCTTCTTTCCTTTCTTCCTTCTGGTGTCTTCTCCGCTCTCTATGTCGATGATC